TGCCCTTCTGTGTCCCCTCAGGCACCGGGGGTGGCAGGTACAGCTCACAGCTGCTCTTCTCGGATGCAGGGTATGAGCTAGGTGAAAAGTCCCTCACCTGGGGGCCGAGGACGGCTCTGGGCCTGGCCTGACCCCAGCTAGGGACAAGCTCCGTGGCAGTGCATACTGTGGGATCAGATGTCAGCCAGGCTCCGGCCAAGACCACACTCCTCTTCTTGTCCTTGCCCTGCTCCACATCCCCTCTTCCCTTTTAGGAGCACCCCCTATATATCACTTGGACAAGACCCCCCAGCAGGCTAAGGAATCTGTCTCAGACTCTGAGGCACCTGTGGGGTGACTTGCAACAGCAAGCGGAAATACCGAAACAACACTCAGGATTTGGAGGCAGATTTATTTATGTTGATGGGCACTGATCAGGATTATTTCCAGAATATCAGGCCCTGCTTTCTGGTGGTCTAGGGCTTTTATCTGATGCACAAGCAGGAGGTACAGAGGAGGTACAAACTGGAGACAGAACAGCCTGGCAGTTCTTCTGATTAGCTGGCAGGGTGAGATCGTCCGTTACAAGGGTAGATTAATGCTCATCCGTTCATGAAGCTTGGTACAGTGGTACAACCAGGCATCCTGCATGTTCAGTTACGCTCTTCCGGTTACCGGGATCAAGAAAGTAATGACAAAGCCATGAAGCAGTTACAGAGCTGGGCAGTTTCAAAAGAACAAAGTTTTAAAAAGAAAAATTACTCTTGTACAGTTTTTCCCTTTCAGACTCTCCATAAAAACATCACTGGGGCTCATCAAGGCAAGTGTGTGTTCTTGGAGCAGTTGGATCCTTACTCAGGATGCAAGCTGAGCTCCCTGCAGACAGACCCCTCCAGGGTCCCCAGTGGATCTTCTCAGGAAATCATTCAGACACACAAGGTCCCTGATTACACAGAATCTGACCAGAGAGCACAGTTCACAAGTACAGGTCCAGAATCCACCTTGCTGCCACAGTAGGTGTGATAATAGTGGGCAGGAGCCTCACCTGACAGCTCAGGTTTCCAAACACCAGCCCACAGCTCGCAGCCCTGGTTTCTGCCTCAGGCTGCTCAGCTTCTCAAGAAGTTGCTTTTGGGTCGCACACCTCTGTGGAGGACAGGTAGAGAAAATGGCAGCCAGTACCCCCTCACTGGGTGACAGAGGGGTTCATGGAGGCAGTACAGGTAAAGCTCTCAGCACACAGCCTGTCATCCACCAAGCCCTTAACTACAGGAGCCATCTTACACATAGCCCTGTTCCTCTGAGCTGGAAGCCCCGTTTTTCCATCCTAGCAAAGGTCTCTTCCACACTCCGGAATGCTGACCTCCAGCTCTTATACATGGAGGCCCCTGACCTCTGCCCAGCTGAGGGCTAGGTCCTGGGGTAAAGCGACATGTTCAGATGCCACAATCATAGCTCTGGGGGAAATGGGCACAGCCTTTGTAATAATGAAATTTGCTTCTACAGGCAAAGGGAAAGGGAAAGGAGTATTTCAAAATGAGTCATAGGGTCTAATCGGCAGGTTTATACAGGAAGAACAGTCCATACCTGTGAGAGAAGAACAGAATTCTACTGGAACAGTATCATCAGTGGAATCTGCCTGGGTTTGGGGGACATGGGCTATGCCTGGAAAGCTCTAGGGTCTGGTTGTTAGATGTCACACCCAGGGGTGGCTGGCTTTGCTCAACATGGACGCAGCCATTTTTAGTAGACTCCTTTTCCTGGTGCTTCCCAAGAGGCCTGAGGTCCCCAAATAGCAACTTCTGTACAAAGTCTTTGTCCCTCAATTTTTTTTCCTGGCATGTGGAATCGAACTCAGGATGTTGTACTTGCCAGGCAGGTGCTTGGGCCACTGAGCTATATGCCCGGCCCCTTGTATAAAGTCTTTGGCTTTGCTCTGAGGCTCAATGGTATTATGTCAGATCACTTCTCTGACAGGAGAAGATAGAACAACCAAGGAATTATTTTTGCCTCTACAACGAATTTGCTTATCAACAATTCTGCTTATCAGCAGCCCCGGAAGCCCTGCCATCAGTTGGAGAAAGCTGGTGTGCCAGGAGGGGGACAGAGCCTCTGATACCAAACCCAGGGAAGCCAGGGATGTCACCCTGGAACCCAACGAGATGACATGAATTAGGATCTATCTGGGTTTGTAGAACATTCAAATCTGGATCAAACCAGAAAGGAACAACATCGCCATGCCTCCCCATAGAGAAAGTGACTATGAGATGGAGCAGCAGGAAGAATGGAAGGGGAAACCCCAACAAGAACAAGGGAAATGCCCTTCATACAGCACCAACCAATGAGATGCATGGAAACGGTGACCTCTGTACATCCGGGCGAAATCTCCCAGACTGGTGGTCTTGAACCTTCATGGGTGGTAGCACCAGGTGTTCTTGCTCCATCAGCTTCCACTGTTTCATTTTGTGTTGGACAATGACCATTAGTATCCAGCTGTCCCCAGTGAGTCCAAAGGGCAGACTCCACCAGGGGCCCTTGGACAACACTCCCAGGAGGCTGGGACTTTTCAGCCTTTTGAGCACTAGATGCTTCTTTCCTCCAAGAGCACCTGGACCTGTTTTACAGCTGCTAAGAGAGCGCCATGCTCAAAGATTTGGACTAGTCTGGTCCCATAGGAAAATGTTTTACAAGTTACAAGCAGAGGGTATAAGAGCCTAAGATATTTCCTCAGTCTTTGTATTCTGCCCTGTTGTCAGAATTTTTGCATGCTTGCTACTTTTCACTATAGACTACATATAGGAAACCTGTTTTTTCAAATGAATCAAATGAGATCCAAAAAAATTCTAGTAAGTGGGGTAGGCATGGTGACATACCTGTAATTCCAGCACCATGGGAGGCCGAGGCAGGAGAATTACAAGTTGAAGTCCAACCTGGACAACTTAGCAACTTTGTGAGGCCTGTCTCAAAATAATTAAATAAAGGTTTGGGAAGTAGCTCAGAGCAAAGGCCCTATGTTCAATTCCCAATACTGAAAAAAAAAAAAAAAAATACTGCTGGTGTCCATTCTGCCAACCATCTCAGGTTTAAGAGAGGGAAGCAGGTTTAGCATGTCTTTCACATAGCACCAACCAATGAGATGCATGGAAACGGTGACCTCTGAACATCCGGGCAAAACCTTGCTCATGGAGTCAGACCAGGGAGAGCCTCTCAGTTTGTCCACTTTGGACACATAAATCAATGCAATGGAAGACAGCGCCTTCAAGGATCCCAGAAACAATCGTATGTAACAGGCTGGGCCGAAAACCAAGAGGTTGCTGAACAGCCTGTTCCCCTGGTGACGCCTCCCCTGGTGGTTCAACAACCTGCTCGTTCTATCCGAACCCGGCTGGCAGCATGGTCCTTTCCAGCTCTTTGGCTGAGACTCCCCTGAAACCAAAAGTGGCCCCAGAACTAAATCAAATGAGGTGAAATTTTCGCCACTGAGAAGCGCATGGGGACAGGCCCAAGGGAGACAGTGTTGGCTGTTCCTGCAGCCTCTCCTCACTCCATCCTGGCCCAGTTCTCTGCTTCACTCAGCATCTGTTGGGAGGCCAGGCCTCAGAGACCAGATCCTCAGGATTCCAGCGTGCAAGGGCCAGTGAGGTGCTAATGTCACACAGCTGAGAAGGCAGGGGCAGGACACCCCGTCCTCCAGCTCTTGGTCTTCCCTGGGGGTCTCGGTCCCACATCTCTGAGCCTCAAAACTGTTTTACCTGTGATTTTCAGCCAAATTCTCCTAGGAAGAAAGAGGTTTGGCTTCTGGAGGCTGGGACCACCGCTGGCCACCCCTCCATGAGGGACACACAGAGGAGAAGCTCTGAACTTATGGTTTAGAAGACAGAAACAGTGTGTCAAGGTGGCCCTGGGATGGGACCTGGGACATCAGGGATACCTGGCAGCCTTTGTGGCCTCCTGGGTACTGATGCCCACCCTTACCGGCTCACAGAGAGGACACAGCCAACTCAGACAGGCAGGGTAAGTCTAGACCTTCGGGCCAAGCTCAAGGCTCCTGCCATGACACACAGCCTATTACATCCTGGCTTTAGAGGATCAGGGCCATGAAGCTATGGGGGGCCACCTGGCCACTCCTGGATGTGTCTCTCCTGCAGGCTTCTCTCTGGCATGTGAGACACGAGGCCCTCTGGAAGGGGCAGAGGCAACACAGCTGGCTTGGGGCTTGATGGGCCACTTTTAAGGCAGCTCTGAGCCTACCCCTGTTGTGCTCAAGTAAACATTTACAACCATGGGTGCACATGGCCCTGACCGTGGGAGGGGTTGTGGATTTCTGCTGGAAAAAGCAAATTTTTTGTTCTCTGTTTTTTGGGTTTTTTTTTTTTTTTTGATACTAGAAATTGAACTCAGGAACCTGAGCTTGCCAGGCAGGTGCCATGGCACTGAAGTATATCCCTAGCTTCCTGCTGGTTTGCTTTTGAGACAGGATCTAGCTCTATAGTTCAGGTTGGCCCTTAAACCCAAAGTGATCCTCCTGCCTCAGGCTCCTGAGTGCTGGGATGACAGGATTCCTGGTGGAAAATGAGCACCATAAAGTGGTACAGAGGTAAAATGGTGAAAATGCCCCAGATTCAACAGTGTTCAGCCATGGAGAGCTCAGGTTAGGGGGAATTCAACTCCCTGCATTCTGTAGATTCTATGATGTTTAAGTGTTTAACACTGGCTGTGTAATACTTTGGCAACTGGAATGCTCAACCAGAGAGATTGGTTTAGAAGAGGGCGGCCTCCGCCCTTATCATCACCTTTCCCACACTTTCAAAGCAGCCCCCAAGTTGGTGCTGGGAGCCGTACTCCACTGTAACCAGGGAGTGTCCTTGTGCTCTAGAAGATTTTGTCCTGAATGTGGAGCATTAATTATTAAAGAGCTCCTTTCAACCCTGTCAGCCAAGTTTAATGTTTAGTTTGAGGACTGAAAAATTAAAGTGTATGTCCCTTGACTTTGCACCTGCTGCTTAGGTGTTTAGAAAGAAAGGGGAGGAAGGGTAGGAGAGAAAGGAAAAGGGGAAAAGCACCGTTCTGTTTGGCTCTGCTCTGGGGACTGTACTGATACGGAGAGAGGAAACACTTTCCTCTTCGTGAAACTGCACTGCTTTACTTCCCTCCCAGCCTAGGGAAAAGGCTGCTGTGGGAATAGTTAGTGATCCAGGGAAGGAGGGGACTGAGTTGCAAAGTGAAAGATAAAAATTCGAGGATGACTGCTGGGGACCAGGAACAGGAAGGTGGCTGCCAGGAGGAGGTGGCTGGAGGGGCCGGGAGGGGAACAGACAGACAGCAGGCGCTGCAGTGGTCCAGGCCTTGAGTGCTGCCCCTGACGTTTCCGTGAGAGAGGATTGGGGTTGGGGTCCTGCCCTGGCATTGGCCCTGAGCTCGGGAGGCCCAACCTACTGCAGCTTGGGAGCTTGGGAGGCCCAACCTACTGAAGCGGACTCTGCCCAAGATTTCCACTGAGCGGAGAAGACTGGCCAATGCACAAGGGTTGGACCCAACTCTCTGCCCCACAGAAACCCGGACTTCTGCCTCCCTGACAGCCGCCTCTTCACCCCAAATCTGTGAGTAGGAGCAAGGTGTGTGCCCAGCTCTGTGTCTATGTCCGCTTAGCCAGGCTGGGCTTTGGAGAGAGCTGAGTGCTTGAGAAAAGGAAGAGAAGAGAGGCATAGGACTGGGAGGAGGGGGTCTTAGGACTTATTTATGGATCAGCTAAAGCCTGAGAAAGAGCGACGGGGTGCTCTTGGAATGGAAAAGTCTGAGGGTAGAAATGGTTTCGGGAATGGTTGGCTCCAGGGATGAAAGTGGCGTCTTTAGGCTGTTGTCTCCATCTTTCAGTGAGAACGTACAACATAGTGGGCAACAAGTCACTTCATAATCGTGGCCTGTTGTGGGAAGTGATGAAAGCAAGGGCCTCTCTTCAGAAAAAGCCTGTATCAGATACAATCCTTCCACTTATCTGTGTATCTGATACTCCTGCCCTTTCTTTTCTTTCCTGGGAAGTGGGCAGAATTTGTTGTTTCTGCTCGGAATCCCTAGCACTCATGAGGAACTGCCTCTCACGGGTTAGAGTGAGGCAGGAAAGGGGACTTCCTCGAGGGGTCGGGCGGGGGGGGGACCCAGGGCAAGGCCCCTGCTCCGTGAGGAGTGAGCTCCAGGTGGCATTCGTGGTTTCCCTGACTCTGTCTTTCAGCAGGAAGCTCTGGCCCATGGAGGACAACGTGCAGAGACAAAGAGAGTCCATCTCCCTCACACCCATGGCCCTCGGTGTGGAGAATATGGGGGCTGAGTTCCTGGAGAGTTTGGTCTGTAGCCGTCCCCCACTCAGCCTCTTCAGCCTCCCTCCTCCTTGAGCCCCAGTCATGGTGGGAGGGTGCTCTGTCCGCCTCCTCCCACCCTCCTGGCTCCTTGATTAGGAGACCTTTGAGTGTCAGTCCCTGGCATGAAGCAGCCCCTTCATGTCACCCTTTAAGCATTTACTGAGCACCTACTATGTGCCCAGATAGCCTGAAGCTCAGTGAAGGGCCTGTTGAGAAGCCAGACGATATAGAGGTCGGGGTGCTGGTTTCTCTGAAGAAACCAGTCCAGTCAGGGCGAAGGTTGAGGACCACAACCCAAACTCTGGAGCTGAATGTGATGTCCTCCATCCTCCCAACCTCCTCAGAAAAGGCCTGTCCCCTTCACAGTCCCATCCATTGACCACAGAGCAGCTTTTAGGAGATCACCTGCAAGAATATCTCCACCCAAAACAGCTCCACAGGCAGTAGGGTGAATGACACCCTGGAGCCATGTCTGGGGCCATTCTCAGAGGGTCCCTCATGGACCTCATCGGTCTCAGAGAAGTTACAAATGTCCTTTGCTCACACAAACCACAAAGGCAGGAGGATCTAGCACAACAAAGGAGGGATCTATGGTAGCACAAATAATTTAATTAAGTACCCAGTTATTTCCTGTGCAAAAAGCCAGTCCCCACCTGAGCCCACTCCTGAGGTGCGCGTGGGTGCGTGGCATGGCAGGGGCGCCCCCTCCCTCAGGCCCCTCAGCTCGCTGTCCTTGTTTTAGGAGGAAGGCCGACTCCCTGGCAGCAGTGACTCAAGCCAACAAGGCGGGCACGCTGTGGAGAGGAAGCCCCCGTGGGGATGGTAGGTCATCTCGGGGCCCTGGCTGAGGCGGGGATGGAACCTGGCCTCCTGACAGACTGGGAGACTTGTGACCCCTGTTGAAGGGAGGATGAGCTGGGCCAGTCTCCACCTCAATGGTGAGCCAGGCCAGGAACCCAGGTGTGGATGTGGCCGCTGCCCCCTGTCCACCATTGGCTTCCCACCCCACTCGGTCTCTGGGACACCTTGGAGAACCTAAGGCTCAGTTTCAAACTCCTGTTTTACCTACAGGGGAAGGGACCGGCCCAGAGGGTCTGGTGTGAGCCTAGAACTCTGGTCCTCACTGGCCGGCACCCAGGCTGAGTAGTGTGTATGGCGGGAGGTGGGGGGGGGCTCCGCCTGCCTGCGAGGGAACTGGGGAGAAGTCTTACATTATAGGGGCTGGGGGCACCTTAAAACCCCAGCTGGGGATTGAGTTCTGTGAGCGCTGGGTACACATCCACCAGAGGCTCAGCCCGGGGACCCCAGGGGTGATCTGGGTGCTAGTCTTTCCCCCAGGGAAGGCAGGTGACCCAATGCCCACGAGCTGGTTGGGGTGTGGGCTGAGCTTGAAGGCAGCGGGGGTGGGCAGGGGCAGGGCTGTTTCATGCTTCCTCTCTCTGGCATAGGCCCTGGGGACTCGGATGACAAGGGCCCCTGGTCCTAAGGGAGCAAATAGACCTGGGAACCACTTCACCTCCCTCTGGGGACTGGTGGGAATGTGGCAGGAGAGGCAGCATCCATCGTCATGCACTTCTGCCTGTTGATAAGGCTCTTCCCTCCCACTCCCTGACCCAAGGTCGCCTGACCCGACAGTAGGGCTGCAGGAGGGATGCAGAAGCCCTGTGGCCTGAAGCACGGCTCAGTTTGCTTTGGGCTAGAGTTTCTATCAGCCTCATGGATGTCGAGGCCGACACCTGGCTTGGCCCCTGTTACCACAGCATTGGGGACATCCCTGAGCGGCTTCCCTTGGGGGAGGTGGAGGAGCCTATGGGGTGAGAGTTGGGGTTCACTCATGGACATGGCTGGTCCTCCCTCCAGGAGAGGCCTGCATTGGGCCCTGCAAGGAAGACCCAGGCCACTCTTCCGATGGATGGGCACAGCGCTGCTCTGTACTGGTAAGCCCCCACCATCCCACCAGAAGACAGGAGACTCTCATTGCCCGGCCTCCATACCTAGCACACAGTCACTCGTGCAATCGGTCAACAAACGTTTGCTTAGCATGAGTTAGGGCTGGCTCCTGCTCAAGCCAGGAACTGAGGTCCCAACTAAGCCAGACCCCACTGCATCCTCCCAAGTCACCCCCTCAGCAGCAAGGGGGAACACAGACATACTCACAGAATGCAGTAGATGTCTCTGAATATAAAGCATCTCCCCTGGGGGACCACCAGGGAGGAGCAGGCAGCAGGCGGAGGGGAGGCCAGTGTGGAGTGAGTGGGCACCTCCTGCTCAGATGTTTTAGAGCTGGAGGGCTGAGAAACAGCCCTGATCAGGAGGAGGAGAGGATATGCTCAGACCTGGGATTTTTGTTCAAGGCCAGAGAGAACCACTGAAGGATTTAAACAGGGAAGTGCCCGGGTTGGGGGCTGTGGTGTGTAGGTGAGAACGAAGCTGTGAACAAGGGGTGGGCTGGGTTTGAGCAATCTTGGAGGAGTGACACCAGCTACCCTGAGAAAGTGGCCAGGAGTATAGGATAAAGGAGATCTTGAGTCACCGCAGGTTCTGGCCTGGGTGACGGGGTAGGGGAGACATAAGGGTGACCTTCACAGAGCTCCAGAACACAGGGGGAGGAGGCGGTCTTGTAGGGAGGAGGACATGATTTGGACAGCTTGCTGGAGGGACCACTGCCAGGCCACTATGGAAGGAAGTCTCCCAGAGACACTCAGCAGATGAATTGAGAAGTGGGTCAAGACAGAAGCCTGGGGACCAGCCACAAAGAAGGGGCTGGCAGAAACTAAGGAGAAAGGGTTTCAAACTCAGTAACACCCCTGCAGAGGACCAGCACGGCCAGGACGGAGCAGTGTTCATTGATTTAGGGACAGGGAGTCATGGCGACTTAGGTACAGGTGCAAAGGGTAGGCTGGAGGGACGGGAGGTGAGTGTAGACAGGAAGTATGGACAGCTCTTTGGAGACATTTTTATCAGAACAGGGAGGGAATGTTGATGGCCGGGCTGTGACATGTGTTCCTGGTGGGAGATACTGTGGACATATTTATGAGTTGAGCTGGAGACTTTGTAGAGAGAAGGGGAAATAGGAGAGGAAGCAATGACTGACAGAGTAAGGGCTCCTGGGTACACAGAAGGCTCCCAGCCCAAGTGAAGGAGCAGAGCTTCCCGGTGCAGCTCATTTCCACCTGGCAGGTTGGAGGTAAAGAAGGAGGGTGGGCATTGTGCAAAGGGCAGCATGGGTGCCTAGGGAGGGGATAAGACAATGAGAGGTAACAGTGATGGCCCCAGTATTCTTGAAGTACTTGACACCAGGGTCATCTGTTTAGATGGGGTGAGTTTATGGTCCCTGCTCATAGTCTGTTTTCTGTTGCTATAACAAAATACCTGAAGCTTAGTACTTCATAAACAACAGAGGTTTATTTAGCTCGCAGTTCTGGAGGTTTAAGGGCACGGTGTTGACACTGGCTCAGGTTCATCCCTCCCAGAGGATCTAGTAAGTCTTCTGGAGGCCCTGCCCCCTCCCATCATCATCACCACACTGAGTGAGGGCCAAGTTTCCAAGACCCGAACCCTCAGGGGACGCAAATCACACCCAGACCACAGCCATTGCTCAAGCTTCCTCTGACAGTGAGGGTGTCCTTCGTCAGGGTCGGTGTTCCCCTTGCTGCCACCTCCATCCAGACTCAGATTTATTTCTCTTGCAGGAGGACTGGATTCTTTCCAGGACAGGACATGCATTTCTCTTGCTTTCTCCTTCCATTTCCCCTTCGGTCTTGGCTGTCAGGACTTACCCATCAGTGCTCAACCTTGACTTCCTCATGCTGGGGTGCTCTGGGGTGCTCTGGGGTGCTCTGGTTCTTTCATACCTTGACTGTGTCACCTCTTCCATGGGGCAGCCCTCTGCACCCTCTTAGGTATGGTGGAGAAGCCTATGTCCCCCGTACTTCCGGCCTGAACTGTAACAGTGCCTTCTTCACCTGACATCAGTGTTCCATGGGTACAGAGAGCTCTGGACCATGAGACTACCACAGACAGCCTTACCATCTCCAGTTTTGGAAGAAGAATGGGCTTCCTGCCCCTGGTTCCAGTCAAAGTCCTGGGGAGGTCTCTGATCGGCCAGTTCCAGGTCACGTGCCTGTCCTGAACCAATGGCTGTACTTGCCTGGCTCCAGCCGTAGAGCGTGCTTGTGCCTCCACTGAGGCCGGAAGTGTGCGCGTGGTGCTCCACCGGCCCCCTTTGCAGCTCCTCTGCAGTGCACCCAGGACCTAGTAAACACTTCCTACCTTTGACACAGTGTCCTGAGCATTCTCATTTCAGACAGGAGAGCCAGGCTCGGGAGGCCAAAAGGGCTTTCCTGCTCTCTGCACTCCAGATGGAGTGATGTGGAACATATTGCAGGGCCATGCCACAATGTCCTCTTCTCTGTCCCCAGCATATGCTGCCTTCCTGCTCACTGCTTGCCTTCTGGACTTCCAGAGGGCCCTGGCGCTAAGCATTGTCACCTGTGTGGTCCTAGCCTTCCTGGCCCACAGCCTGCTGAAGAAGTGTTTGGGCCCAACACTGAGGGAGTGTGTGACGCTTCAGGGCCACCCTCACCTGCGCATCTGGTTTAACCGGTGAGTGAGCGCGTGGCCTGCTGCCTGCAGGGAGGAGAGGGCTCCTGGGTCAGAGGGTTTGCACCGCACACTGCCCATCTTCTAGGACCTGGCACAGGAGCTGCTGGGTGGCTTCAAAGGCAGCACATGTTTGTGGGGTTTTGCCAGTTCTTGCAGTTGGTTCTCTGCCCCAATTACCACAGGGGACAGTGACACAGAAACAGTCTGGGAACCTGGCCCTTCCAAGCACACCAGGCCCTCCTTGGCATTTCTTGTCATACCCTACTGGGGACTGACTGCCTCAGGAGTGTGGGGAGCAGGCTAGATAAGGTGTAGGTGCCAATAGCTTTAATTAGTCCCTAGGGCCCCTGGACAAGAGTTTGGGCAGGGATCCTTTGATTGTCAAACTGGATTTCTTGGAGCTCTGGAGACCCTGGAAATGCCATAAGGTAGGAAAGAGAGAGCAGGGAAGAGAGTATCAGATCTGCCTTGTCTGTGTTCTGCTGCTGTAACTTAGTACCACAGACTTGGGTGACTATACAGAAGAGAGGTTTATGTTGGCTCATGGTTCTGGAGTTTGGGAGGCCCAAGAGCATGGCACAGCACTGCCGTCTTCACCTCGTGGCAGAAAGCAGAAGGGCAAGCGGTGTGAGAAGAGGCAAAAGAGGAGAGGCAGCCTAGGTAACAAGCCATGGTCACAGTTCTGGAGGGCAACAATGCACTGATTCCTGCTAGAATAAACCCATTTCTTTAAGAAAGGCATTAACTTCTCTCAACAGCCTGTTAAGGGCCCCACCCCACCCTTACGTCCATCTATTAAACTTCAACATGAACTGGCGGGAGCAAACCACATCAGTCCGTAGTTTTGCACCCTACCCCTCAAAACTCATGTCCTCACACACAACATCCCAGTGCTCCCCAAAGTCTTATCCTGGCCCAACATCAATTCCAAAGGCCAAAGTCTCATCTGAGACAGAAGGCAAAATCCTTCCTGCTGGGAGTCCTTCCAGCTGTGAACTAAGACAAGGTAGAGCACCTATTTTCAAAATACAGAGGTGGGACCAGAATAGGGTAAGAAACCATCCAGTAAAAAGTCATCCCGAAGGCAGAGGCAGAAAGAAAGCTAGATGAAACATAACAAAGAAGCCACAACACTTAAGTCTTCAGGCTCCAGAATAATTGTTCACATCATATGTTGCCAACGAGACACCCAGGGGTGACTGGGCCTCTAAAATCTGGGCAACCTGGTCCCTTCATGGGTGCCACCATGGGCTGGAGCGACACCCTGGAGCCTGTGGCTTTCCTGGGCTGGCACCATGTGCCACTGTGGCTCCGCTGGTCTAGGGGCCGAGGCAGTCTTGCCCTGCAGTGGGTCTGCCTGCCCTCTGCAGTGATTCACACATCCTTTGACGTCAGGTGGAGGAAACTATACTGCTACCGCCCTTGCGTCCTGCACATCTGCAGAGTTAGTGCCTCAGGGACAGGGACCATCATGGCTAAGGTGTGTCACTGTGCCCTGGAGAGCCCCAGAGAGCAGACAGCAGCCCAGAGAGGAAACTCTGAGGATCTGCAGGGTCCCTGTGAGTGTCCAGTTGAGTTGTGATTGGTGAATGTGTCTGAGGAAACTGCCCTCAGCCTAGGAAAGAAGCAAGGAGAGGAAATGGTGCCTGGCACCACAGAGGGTCAGGAAGAGTGTGTGTTCCCACAGTTGGAGTCCATCCCCCACCACCCACAGGGCCTGATGTGGAACACTGAGCAGGGTCTTAGCCTGTCCCATCTGTGGGTGCTGCTGTGTGCACACGCGTATATGTGCATGCATGTGTGTGCACATGTGTGTATGTGAGATGCAGAGATGACAGTTTCCGGCCTCTCTCCTGCAGAGCTCTCGCCCTTGCTGCGGTCCTGGCCCTGGCCTTGTGGCTGGGGCTGGACACCTCCCAGAGGCCGGAGCAGCTGGTGTCCTTCGCAGGGATCTGTGTGCTCATCTCCATTCTCTTTGCCTGCTCGAAGCACCATCGTGCTGTGAGTGCTCAGTGGCAGCCTGACCGGAACTCGGGAGCTGCCCGCTTCTTTCTCCCTGGGGCTGGGGCTGGGCTGTGGGGTCCAGATGCTCCTGTCAGGAGGCCCCTGAGGCCCAGAGCCCAGGGAAGACCACTGTCTGTGGGGATAGGCTCCCTGTGGAGCTGGTGAGGGGCATCCTGGGACATAAGACCCCATGGGTGGCCGCATCTCTTAGCAAACTCCGCAAAGTCCCCAGCAGGGCAGGGGAGCTTCCTGGAGGAATTTAGCCATGCTAAATTACCTGGTCACCAGGGGCATTTATTTTTTTGGTGATGTGACCTCTGGTCTGTCCAAGCTTGGCCCTCTCGTCTGTAGGCTCAGGAACCATCCCCAGCATGTTCCTGAGCTCCAGTGTGCAAGGAACCCGGGGTTTCCAAGAATTGTTATCTTAAAATAATGGTTCTTCAACTCTCCTTCCTGGACCAGCAACATCAGCATCAGAAAGGCTACTTCTTAGTTGGGCATAGGGGCCTGTAAAATCTAGCACTCTGGGAGGCAGAGGTAGGATGATCACCAAGTTTGAGCCCGGCTTGGGCAACTTAGCAAGACCCTGTCTCAAAATGAAAAATAAAAATGGTCTGGGGATGTAGCTCAGTGTGAAAGCCCCAAGTTCCATCCTCAATACAAGAAAGAAGGAAAGATGGAAGGAAAATGAGGTAACCCTAAGAATTCACCTGCCCAGCACGTGGCCTGTGCTGAGTTCCTGGGTGTGAGCGACAGTTGGTGGCAGGCCTGGCTCCGGCTGTCCAGCTCCCATCCCGCAGGCAAGTCACAGCTCCCTGAAGCCTCTGCCCTCATCCACCCTGTCCTGTGGGTCCCCAGGAGCTGAGCTCACCAGGACCTTTCTGTCGCTGGCAGGTGTCCTGGCGGACTGTGTCCTGGGGCCTTGGGCTGCAGTTTGTGCTTGGACTCTTCATCATCAGAACAGAGCCTGGATTTATCGCTTTCCAGTGGCTGGGAGATCAGATCCGTGTGCGTACATAGGCCTGGATGCATGCGAAGGTGGGAGGGGGAGCAAGGCCCTGGAGAAGGCTTGAGTCCAGGAGGGGCCCCTGGGCTGGCAGGGCTGATAGGAAGAGAACCCCAGACAGGGCTGTCCGTAGTGTACCTGGACACCCGTGTGTGTGGTTAGTTGCAGTCGTAGTTAAACTTGCTTCAAACAAACAAATACTCTGCATGTGTATGTATGTATGTATGTATATATCTTCAGAAATAATGTTTACTGAAGTTGCAGTTTTTTGTTTCATTTATTTATTATTATTTTTGCAGTACTGGGAATTGAACCTGGGAGTACCCTGCACTGAACTATTTCCCCATCCCTTTTTGTAATTTTTAAATTTTTTTTGTCTTTCTGAGACAGGGTCTCGATATGCAGTTCAGGCTGGCCTTGAGCTCACTTTGTAGCCCAGGCTGATTTCAAACTCACAAAGATCCTCCTGCCTTAGGCCTCCCCACTGCTGGGATTGCATGTGTGCACCACCACACCCAGCTCCTTTTTGTAAATTTTGAGACAGAATTTTGCTAAGTTGCCCAGGTTGGGGCTTGAATTTGCAATCCTCCTGCCTCAGTCTCTCTTGGTGCTGGGATTATAAGGGCACCTCACTATGCCCAGCTATTTTATTCTATTTTATTGTATTAAAATACATATAACATAAAATTTACCATTTTAATCATTTTCACTGTTACCAAGTTCATGCACATTGTTGTACAACTGTCATGACCTACCTTTTTTTGGAGATAGGGTCTTGCTATATAGTCAACACTGGTCTTGAACTCACTATGTATGTGTCCTCAAACTTAAAATCCCCCTGCCTCAGCCTCCTAAGTGCTAGGGTTACAGGCATATCCCCTCATGCTGGCTTGGCCTGCTTTTTAAACTGTGAATGTGGAAGACACAGTTGAAGGCCTGCTCACCTCCTGTCACCACCTGGCACATCTGTGGCTTTGTCCCTGCTCTGTTTCCACCTGAGGGCATCTGCCTGAGTCACATCTCCATTCTACAGTTGGGAACACTGAGGCCTGGGTAGGCAAGTGACTTGTCCCTGGGGTCTCCATGCCAGTTCAGTACCCGAAAACAGGTGCCCTGGAGAAGTGTGCCTAGCCGGGACAGCAGGGGCAGGCTGTGCTGTTAGCTGTTGGGACAGAGCAGGCCGCCTCCTCCCTGCACACGAGGTCTTGGTTTCTCCATTGTCTTTTTGCTACTTGGTTTTTTTATTTTTGTTTTTGTTTTTATAGTACTGGGGGTTGAACTCAGGGCCTTTGCATCAAACTGTACCCCCACCCCTTTAATTTTTTTTTTTTAATTTTTACATAAGACCTCATTAAGTCACTAAATTGCCCAGGTTTGGCTTGAACTCAACATCCTCCTGCCTCAGCCTCCCAGAGTGCTGGGAGTACAGGTTTACACCGTCATGCCTGGCTTTATTGTCTCTTCTTTATTGTACTTAACAACTCTAATCTCAGAGTGTATCTGTCTCTTTCTTTCTTTCTTTCTGGTACTGGAAATTGAACTCAGGACCTTGGGGTTGCCAGGCAGGCACTTGTGCCACTGAGCTGTATCCCCAGCCCCAGAGTGTTTCTTTAAAATCGACCAAAAAGGTGTCTCTTCTGCAGAATGTGCGCCAAAGGAGCAAGAGCCTGGGATCGCTATTGCTGCTTTAGTGTACACGCTTTAGTGGCAGGAGGGGCCGTGGCCACCGCATCCTTCTCTCCCACCCAGCTGGGGCTCTGCCCCTCCCCCGTCCCAGCCTCGCTCCTCCTTTTTGTCTTCCTCCAGATCTTCCTGAGCTACGCCGCAGCGGGCTCCAGCTTCGTGTTTGGGGAGGCGCTGGTCAAGGCCACCTTTGCCTTTCAGGTCAGCGTGACTTTCGGTCAGACCTCCAGCTAGCGGGAGCCCGAGGCGGTGGGGGTTGGGGTCGGTGGCAGGGGCCTTTCTGGGTACACCATGGCTCCTGGGAGCTGACTTGGAGAGGGACCCTGAAGTGTGTTCACCAGGTGTTATGTTTCTGCTGTGCTCTGTAAAATCTGGAAAAGAAAGCTCTTTTGGCATTCTTTTCCTCCAACTCGAGCCCCTGTGTGATGGAATTGCTGGGAGGCTAAGGACAAGAAGCGGGGTGGGGGTGGCCAGGACCTCCTCCCTGACACACCGCAGGACTGTGGGCCTAGAAGGGAGTTTGCAGAGGCTCAGTGGTCATCTCAGATACTGCTTCTTCCCGAGCCCTCGGCTGCCTCCAGGAAGCCTGCTCTTCCTAGTTCTGCTGTAACTCTATCTCCCTCCTCTGTCTCTCTCTCTCCCCCTCTCTTTTCTTTTGTCCAACAGAAATTTACTGTGCATCTCCTGGCATACAAGATATTACAGGGGAAATTAAGATTAAAGCCACTTCCACGCTGGGCATGGTGGTGTACACCTGTGATCCCAGCACTCTGGCAGCTGAGGCAGGAGCGTCGGAGATTGAGCCCAGCTTGGGCAAATTAGCAATTTAGCAAGAACTTGTCTCAAAAAATAAAAGGCTGGGAATGTACTCATTGTGAAGGCCCTGGGTTCAAGCCCCAGGAAGTATCCTCCCCCAATAAAAGACCCTCTTCAGTTGGTTTTGAAGATCAAATTGTCTGATGGGGAGCTGCTCAGGTGGAGGTTGTGGTTCTAGTTCTTCGTTCCAGTTTCCTGTTTGCCTTGTGAGGACGTTAGAGCAGGCCTGCTCTCCCTGCCTTGCGCGAGGGTTTTGAGGAGACCCTGGTCACTCCTGCTTAAACTGCACTTCCAAATGCCAGGCAGAGAGACAGGGAGCCCTAGACCCTACACCTGGCCCTAGTTTTCTGCCATGGATGTCATGGTCCCTTGCAGGGGAAATTGCTACTGCTCATCTGTTATGTCCTGCGCCACTGTTCCCATAGAGGAGCTATGTAGGGCCCATGTGTAGAGTTCTGCTTGTCTTTTTTTGTAGTACTTCACATGAAGCTACACCCCCAGCCCTTTTCTATTTTTTATTTTGAGACAAGTTCATGCTAAACTGCTGAGTTGCCAAGCTGGGCTTGGATTTGTGATCCTCCTGCCTCAGCCTCCCAGAGTGCTAGGATTCCAGCCATGTGCTATCACATCTGGCTTAGAGGTTTTTGCTTTTGATCATTACTGTGGTCACTGTGCTCTGAGCTTCCCCACTCTCCTAGGGGACTGGGCCTAGGAGGCTTCCTGCCTGAACCATGGGCTTGGCCATGGAACTCTTGGCTGAGCTGGGCCAGATGAAGTCCAGACCCTTCTGCCTGGCCCAACCTGACCTTTGGGGCTCTCCTTGGAGCCTTGGTGTCATTGTGCCATCAGACTCTCTGAGGACTGTCTGGCCTGTCATAGGGGTCCTAATCATGCCAGCTCCTGGGTCAAAGGAGAGAGACAGCTCCTGCCTGCTTGCCTAAATAGATTAGCCCATCAAGTTTTCTCAGGCCAGGTCTGTAGAAGGAAGGTATTAGGACAGGCAGCCTCTGACAACCCCCTGAGGTCCCCTAACACTGTCCCCTTGGGGCTGTAGGAGGCTGCTCCCTCCTGTCTGGGTAACCAGGGCTCCAGGGAAGAGCAGTAGAGATCCAATTCGTGCAGGGAAGCTCCAGCAGCCTTTCAGGTTTGGAAAACAAACACTCCTCTTCAGTCCACCTCCCAGGGTGCTGGGCTCCAGGGCAGTGAGGGGCACAGAGGCAAGTGCCTGGGGATCCCCAGGGTTGGGGGGAAGGATTGTTTATAACTAGGACAGTGAAGATTCCCCGAGGACGTCTCAGAGCATCAGGATGTGAAGGACTGGGATACGGAGCTAGGAAATGGAGCCAGAGAAAACGGCCTGGGAGAAAGCATGGGGGTGACAATGTGCTGGCGTGGCCAGGGAGCCGGGCCACATCCGGCTTGACAGCCTGAGAGCTGTTTGGGGCCTCTGGGCTCTGTCCCCAGCACACGAGGAGCCGCCTAGGGTTGGGATAGGGAAGGATTTCACTGGTGCCCTGGATGGCTGACAGGTCAGTAGTGGGTGGGAAGGTTGATGGCCAGGATGCTGGCAGGGAGCAGCAGGAAGCAGCTTCATAATCCAGGAAAAAAGTCACCTAGAGATCACAGGACAAAGGCAAGACAGAGGTGTGGCTCACGTGGAGCTCAACACCTAGTGCCATGTGTCATGTGGTTGCATTTAGCCGTCTGAGGACAAGGCATTGGTACTGGTCATCTCTGTGTCCCCTGTCAGCCCTGAGCCCCAAAAGCCCTGTCCAGGGACTTTGCTCTTTGCTGAACGAAGGAATGAATGAAGCAAATAAGGAGTGGCCCTTGTGTGCCCCCCGGGAAGCCCTCCTTGCCTACTGGGAATGCCCTGCTCCATGAGCTCCCCTGCTGCTGGCTGACCCACCATTTCCCTGTGGCCAGTAATGGGGCTGAGCAGCCCTTTCTTCAGCCTTCCCAGCCCTCTAGGATCAGGAGATCCACACGGGTTTGGGAGCAGAGCTCAGGGCCCCTATGAAACTTTTTGTCCCTTCTATTCCTGGCATCTAAGTGCAGCAGAGAAGAAGAGCTTAGGAGAGAAGGGGAAGGTCCCCCCGAGGGCGAGATAGGGTTCTCAGCCCACAAGCACCCTGCAGGGAAATGCTTCACCCCTGTTCACAGCCAAGGGTCTGGAGGCTCTGAGTGGCACAAGGTGACCCAGCTGGTGAGGACTGGGGTCAAGATCCGAGCCCCAGGTCAGGTCCTCTTGTGCTTTAGCTTCTGGGCCAATTCCTGAGTCCTCTCCTTAGGCATGGTGACCAGAGGTCCTAGACCTTAGGTGGTCGTTTTTTTCTCCTGGTTTATAAGAAAACAGTATCTCTAGGACTATTTGGTCCCCAGTGATGGAAACTTGTAACTCGATTTAAAGAGTAGAAAAGCCACTTCTTGGCTTCCAGTCTGGGCAAGGTAGAACTGGTGATGCTGCTCCAGGCCTCACGCTGACCGGGGGACACACGGCGTCCATCCTCACGATGCGTGACCCGACTCTGGGGCAACTCTTCTGTGCCACCCCGGTTACACAAGTCCCAGGGCAGGATTCTGATGGACCCATTTGGACCCCTCCAGAGGGCCCACCCTCAGCTTCTGCTGTGGGAATCAGGGAAGGGCACACATACCTGACTTTGGGAGGGAGAGACACTGACCGCTAGAAGCAGCCCGTAGAAATGCATGACCTGGAGTATTTCCCAGGATGAGCTTTTCACTCCCACTGTGAATTCTTGTTTTTAGGGTCCTCTGCGCTACAAGTGGGTGTTTGGGTCTAGTACAGTATCAAAAACCGGGCTAAATAACCTTAAGTTATTGCAGGCTGATCAGGCCCGCAATCTCCCAAGCGAGTGGACGGTGAAGGCTCAAATAAATGAGACAGTGGCAATGATTTTAGGGCACCAGGAGGGACTAACTCTTACAGCTTCAGTATTCTCTGAGTTAGCCAAAGAGTGCTCTGGATGGCCCATATTTATTTGGTTTACAAACAAAGGAGGAGGATACTCAAGCAAAGGTGGGAATCTGGGCAGGACTTTTTCAAGTAATACATTATATTAATTTAGGAGAACTATGTTATATGCAGGAAGGCCTTCACAGCAGGAGTGAGATGCCTGCAGCTGCAGTCTCCTTGTAGTTAATTAGGGTTGGAGCCAGACATCCTAAGCTGTGGCCTTCAGACAACTCACAAGTAAACACAGAAAGCCAATTGGTTAATATTAAATCCTGCTCAGAGCCACTTTGTAGTGGTCCCCAACAGTATAGGATAAAGCCTGGATGTGGCATCCAGCCTGGGAGAAGTAGCACTGGTATGGAACCTTGGATCTTTTCTCCTATGGCTCAGCAATTTGAGTCACAGCTGGGAGACCAGGCTACACTTCCTGGCTGGGTGCTTAGCCCCTGAGTTAGTTATAAATGACAGAAACACAATGCAGACTGACTTGGCGGGGGGGTTCATTCCTATAACCAGGAAACTCAGGAGCTTCAGGTTCTGTTGGATCCAGGTGCTCAACATGAACTGGGACCTGCCCTACTTACATCCTGGTTCTCTTCTCTCAGTACTGGCTTTAGTCTTGGGCAGGCTGCCTTGTGGAGATGGCAGAAATGTACCAGGCTCACATTCAGCCACACTGGAGATCTAGAGAGAGAGATAGGCAAGGAAGGAAAGACAGACAGACAGGCAGTTTCCTACCAGCTCCAGCAGGAAGCCCTGGGTGGGCTTGTCTCGGCCTTGGGTGGGTGTGTGATAAACTGTAGTCGGGCTTTGGTCACCCCAGCAGCCCAGAGGCAGAGAAGCAGGGAAAGGGTGCTGGGCAAGCAGTGCAGCAGCTGCCTCCCGGAGCCCAGCCTCCTCTGTCCACCCCAGCCCTGGGAGTGTCCTCTCCACCCCAGCCCTGGCTGTCTGTGTCCTCCTATCCTGGAGAATACAAACACCTGGTACCCACCTCACTTCCTACTCACCGCAGAGCCATCTGTTTCTGGGCCCTGAGTTCTAGGAGAGAGCTCTGTGGCTGTGGGGCTTCCCTTTGTGTTACAGAGGGTCCCACCACACCCCAGGGGGGAGCAGGGAGCTCCTGGCCACCTCTAATCACAACAGTGCCCACTGGGAACTGTAGCCATGGCAGCAAAGGGCTCTGAGATTCCATGTTCAGCGAAGAGGGAAGTAACCAGTGAGGGGGGTTTATCATTAGCCAACCTCTGCATTTCATAGTCAGACAACCACTAACAATTTCCTGGCCCTGGGAGGTCACGTCCTCTGGACGAGCTCTGGTTCAGTGTAGTGGCCAGTGTATCCTTAGCAGAGCCAGGCCGCGTGGGGGAGGACTTGAGATACATGCTCTCTGGCCGCAGAATTCCTTTTCCCAAGAGTCACTAATCACAAGATTTCATGCCACACACTGTTTTCTCCCTGTCCCTCTGTCTCTGTCTCTGTCTCTGGGGCTCGCCCACCAAGGGGCAGGGGTGGCCCTGGAGTTTTCCTTGTTTCTTCTGTGAATCATGTGCCTCTGGTCCTCGGCTTCTGGCCAGTTCTGCCTGGAGTGTCTCCCCAAGCTCACTCAGACTTCCAAAATCCGAGCTGCTGAGCTGCTTCCCGCTGGGCGAGGTCCAGCGCTTTCTTCAGGAAGTTCACTCCTTCTCTGGGACTTCTTCAGCCCTCGACCTACCCTGGGCCTGGAGCCCAGCCCAGCCAACGCGGCAGCCACCTCCTGGCTGGCTCAACGCGATTCGTCATTCCACCTTGGCTCTCTGTCCCTCCAGTAACTTTCCACCCACGCAAGCACCCCCAGCTTCCGTGTCCTTGGGCCAGTTGAACTGGGGTCATGGGCTCGTTCTCTCCTGGGGCTCCAGCCTCCGGCACATGCCCCCACTTCCTCAGCCTAGAACAGCTGCTTGGATTTCCCCCAGGAACCCCTGGTTCTCATCTCTCCAGAGATGCTGGGTATCTGGCTGAGGCTGATTGTAGTCCCTAGTTGTCAGCAGTGCCAGATTTTACACACACACACCATGGATCAAATGAGATAAGGCCTGGAAGGCTCTGTAGGACTTGGTAAGAGGGTGGGGCACCCTCAGCAAGCCCCATCTTCAGGGAGGGTGTGGGAAGCCATGGAGACTGGGGTGGAATGGCTGAAAGGGACATGGGACAGTTGAGGCAAGAGAGTTGTGTTGTGAATGAGGTCTCCAGGCAGGGATGGGCATGAGGGGGCAGACTGGTGAGGTCATCCTGGGCGAAGGGGTGGCACACATGGGAAATCAGGCACACGAGCAGAGACAACAGGAGCCCAGTGTGGTGGACCTGAGCTGCCCTGCTTTGGTGATGCTGGGGCTGCGATCCTGGCCGCAGTCGCCCCTGAGGGATCCTCAGCTTTATGACTCACTGCGGCCTGTAGCTGTTGACAGAGCACTGTCTACAGTGCTTGGATCTTGGGCCTGGGGACATGGGGTCTGCTCACACAACCTTAGGAAGTCATCATGAGCGGAGGATTCTACTTGCTCTGGGGGCGGGAAGGACAGGGCAGTCCTCGGTGGGCATGGTCCTGCCTTTGGAGCCTGATTACAGGCAGAGTGAGCATGTCTGCCCCAAGAAGTAGTCTGGACTCCAGGGCAGTGGTCTCAAAGGTGCCTTGTGGTGCAGATTGGGAAAGGCTGGATCTGAAACCCTAGGATGGGGGCTCACTGCTCACTTTCCTCACGAATCCCTCAGATGGGCACACTGTGCACCCCACTGGCCCAGGAGAGCCGGGAGCTCCTCCTTCTGGGGTAGACCAGTTGGCAAAGCCGGGGTCAGCACCCACCTGGCTCTTCCTGGAGGAAGAGGACCAACTGTCTTGGTCCATCTGGCTGCTGTAATACAACCATGGACCAGGTGGTATGCAAACACTATTGCTCACCATTCTGTGCTGTTAGGCTGCCACAGGGTCAGGCTCTGATGGAGGCCGGAGGGTGCTGCTGTTTTTCTCCCCCCACCTCCCATGGTACTAGGGATGGAACCCAGGGCCTTGTGCATGCCAGGCAAATACTCTACCACTGAGGTCCATCCCTAGCTCTTTTTAACATTCTTTATTTGTAATTAATCAATCCCACTTGTGGTTCAGGATCTTGTGCATGTTAGGCAAGTACTCTACTGACAGGGTCTTATGCAAAGTTGAGTAGGCTGGCCTCAAACTTTTGATCCTCTTGCCTCAGCCTTCTGAATAGCCAGAATTACAGGGATGTGCAACCATATCTAGTTCTGGGACATGTTTTATAAGAGCACTTCATCGTTTTTTTTTTTTTTTTGGTCTTTTTGATATAGGTTTTACTATGCAGTATGGACTGGACTTGAGCTCACTTTGTAACCAACACTGGCCTTGAACTCATAGCAATCCTGCCTCAGCCTCCCAAGTGCTGAGATTACAGGCGTGCACTACCATGCCTCTTCCTAATACCATCATTTTTAAGCTTAGGTTTCAACATATGACTTGGGGTACGGGGCATAGACATTCAGTCTATAGCAGAGATACACAATGCTCCTGAAGCCAGAGATGCAAGTTCTGCCCAGGGCAAGTCTGCTGGGTCCGCAGGACCTTGGTGATATGCCTGTTGACCAGCGGTCTGTTCCTTTTGAGGTGTGTGGCCTCAGGTAGGTAATAGTCCTCCCAGAGTTGCAGCGTGGAGACAGTTAATATCTACCTCAATCGCTTTAAGGCTCAGTGAGCCACTGTACTTTGGGTGCTTGGCACACAGTAGGACTTCATGGTAGGCACATAGTATAACTTACTAGTGCTTCCCCTGTCTTCCCATGGCAGCACTGCTCTGAGCTGGCTGTTCTGTTCTTCTGCCATCCCAAGCACTGCAGGCCCCAGAGGTGTACCCTGGGCTATGAGGTCACATGACCACAGCAAACATATTTAGGATCAAATGTTCCACCTTAGGAAGTCAGAGGTCACCTCTGTTCTCTTTTGCTTCCCTTACTAGACAGTCATCACTTAATTCAAGATGCAGCTTCCTTCCTCCTTCCCAGATCCCCATCTTGCAGATAGATAATTCTCTTGGTGCCAATTCTGCAGTCCGGCCACCTGCCCGGGCACCTCCTTCCTGGCTCAGTCTGGCTGTGCAGCCCTGCCAGCTGCCAGCAGCCCCTCGCATGACCAGCCGCACAGGCCGTCTAGACAGTACGTGATCATCAGCCAGTGTCGCCACCCCAGGCAGCAAGGAGGAGTCACCGGCAAGAGAGGGTTCTGGGAGCCAGCACTGTTCCCTGTCAGATGACATCCCCAGCTGCAGTGACGGTGACAGATGTGGCGGGGAGTGTGTGGGAGGGACGGCCCCAGCAGGGCTGTTTCTCCTCTTGGCTGGAGCCACCTGAGGCTGTGATCCGCATGTGGAAGGAGAGCTAAATCTGCTGCTCAAGACTCTCCCTTCAAAGACAAGCACAAGCCCTGCTGGACCCTTAGCCCTGCCAGCTGTGCCTCTTGTCACTTCCCCTCTTTGGTCAGCTGACATCCAGCCTCTGTCCCCACCCCCACTCTCACACTGCTCTCACTCAGGTTACCAGGGCCCCCCAAATTGCGAAGTGCCAAGGGTCCCACTCAGGCCTCCCAGAGCCAGAGCTGTGGCCACCCCACATCCGGCTGGATGCACGCTTCAGCGGCTGGCACGGCCTCCCTGGACGTCCTCCGGCCTCCGGGTCCTCCCGACCCCTCGGTGGTGCTGACCCTGGGCCCTGTCCTCAGCCCTGCTCTGCTCTCTGAGGCAGGTTTCTCAGGGAATCATGTCTGCCCCCCTCCAACACATTTCCAGCTGACCTGGATCTCAGCTCCTGACCTTTCCCCAGCAGTCCATGTAACATGCGCCATCTGGGTGCCTGGGCATCTCACACCTACCTGTGGGTCGCCCCAGACCTCTCCTCTGCCTTTCCCCCTTCACTTCACTGCCCACCTGTTCTAGAAAATTAGAGGAACAGATGGGAAACTCAGAAATAGACAAAAAAAAAATCCTCATAGCCCCAGCACATAGAAGCAAGTCCTAGGAGTGCTGCCTTCCAAGCTCCTTATGTTTGTTTTTTTTTCAATATTCCAATTTTCCCACTGACATTTTAGCATCAGAACATTGCACTGTCACTGTCAATTCTGCATGACTTTAATAGGGATTAAGTGTTTGAAAGATGAGTAGAACAAACACTCTTAACAGTACAAAAGGCTACCAAGTGAAAAGCAAACCTTCCTCCCAGCCTGACCCCCAGCGCCCCTCCTCCCCGCCCTGGGGCACCGGTGCCACCCTGGCCTCACACAAGATCACACAGTTCTGTCCCTTGCAGTGAACCTTCCTTTCCTTGTTTCACAGCCTGTCTTAGAAATCATCCCCCTGGTTCCCCAGAGAACTTTCTCATTCTTTTTTCTGGACTTTTGGGGCACTGTGCTGTGGCCGCACCACCGCTTATTAAATCAGTCCTCCCTCAGCTGAAGTCTGGGCATCACGTGCGAAAGCCCTGGCTGGGCTGTGGGCCTGGAAGGGAAGGGATGAATGGGAGGGGGGAGGGACTGCTGAGCGTGGAGTGAATGTGGAGGGGGGTCAAAGCCGGAGAGGGAAAGGGGTGACAGGATGAGGTGCTGGTCGCAGGTGCGGGGTGAGTCTGCTCTGAGCTGGCTGACACAGAGCGAGAGTGGGAAGCCAGTGACAAGGCACTTTCCTTCAGCCCCGGGCCAGGGACTGAGCCCTGGGGGCAGGGACACCATGCAAGCTACCAGGCTGGAGCTGGCTCCTTTCACTCACAGCAGCCCTGGAGGGAGCCTTTTGCCCCAACCCTGAGACAGAGAAGCTGGTGCTAAAGGGCGCGCACTGACCCTGTCTGTGGTGGAGCGGCAGCCCATGGACTGTCGCTACAGGGGGAGCACAGGACAGCAGTGCTTCCAAGAGGCCCCTCATGCCAACACTGGCATTCCCTGCTCTGGTCACAGCTTCTCTCCAAGCCTATCAGCCCAAGTGGCCAGGTCTCAGATGAGAGGGGCTGCCTGGCCCCTGCCGCTGCCTGCCTCTAACCTGGCCCCTGTGCTCCCTTTGCTGCCAGGTTCTGCCCATCATTGTTTTCTTCAGCTGCGTCATGTCAGTGCTCTACTACTTGGGCCTGATGCAATGGGTGATCCTGAAGGTGAGTTCCCATCCCCACAGCAGGGTTGTCCCACCATCCCAGCTCCCAGGAACCACATCCTCCCAGAATCCCTTGCTTCTGAGGGTCACATCCTCCCCCAAATTCCCTACTCTCAGGGTCTATCCCTTCCTCGAATCCCTTGCCCTCAGGGTCCATACCTTCCCAGAAGCCCTTGCTCTTGAGGTCCACACTTTCCCAGAATCCTCTCCTCCCATTTTCACATTCTCCCAGACTCTACTGCAAATCAAACATTCATTCACAGGTATTTTGTTGTGATATTAAAAAGAAATGGCACCAATATCCATGGTGGTCCCTGTGGGTGGGAAGATTCTAGTCTTGAGGCTACACTGAGTTATTAGGGAAAATATAATTTATACCCAAAAGATCATGAGAGACTGTAACAGTGGGTTACACTGTAACAGTGGGTTAGCTGGTATAGAAGTCAAATCCTGTGCTTATGTTCCTAAAATCTGCTGCATAAAACCAGGACATAAGAGACAGCATTTGCTAGTGCTGGACCTGGCAAGAGACTTAAGTCTAAGCTGATGGAGCTCAGAGTAAGTCAGCACCGTGGGTGGCTGCCAGCAATGCAGAAACAACCTGTGGTGATGTTAAGAGCACACCCTGCAGTATGAGGCAGGTGAATGTCCCTGGGCCTGGAGAGTGTGTTCCATCACAGGGCTAGGACAAATGGAACTGTAAGCCGGGCTTGAAACTACACCCTCCATGGAACAGTGGAAGAAATAAGGACCAATGGGCCAGGACGCAAAAAGGGCAGCCAGGGAGGCAGCGGAGAAAGTCTCAGAGTCAGGGTTCATCTGGACTGAGGAAGAGCTGCTCACAGTATCTTCCAAATGCTCTTCTGTGAAACCCTGGCTCCTCAGCAAGTTAGTAGATGTTATTAAGTAGAGGGATCCCTGATGAAATAATTTGGAGAAACCAGATTAGACACAATGCTAAACAAATTTAAACAAGCGGGACCTTTTAGAGCCTTTACTAAATTAATATGTATCAGTAATCTCCAAGGGCAGGTGTGTATGTGTGTGTATGTGTGTGTGTGTGTGTGTGTGTGTACCAATTATCAAATATATTTAGCTAAGCAGATGGAGAACACACATTTTAGAGGCCTGATATGGTGCCTGGCACTCTCGTAATTAAGATGCATACCCTGAAGGTGGGCTAGAGTAGTGGTTAGCCTCCATGGCTGGAAGAAGATAAACGTACCCTTTGGGGGATGCGGATGAGATCTGCCTCAGTGTACTTCCTGTTGATCTACCAGAACACCACAGCTGGGTAATTTGTAAACACTAGGGGATTGTTTGGCTCAGGCTCCAGAGATTGGGCAGTCCATGAACATGGCACTTGGATGGAGTGAGGGCCTCCACACTGCCCGCTCCATGGCAGAGGGACGAGCAAGCCTGTGAGATGTAGAGAGGAAGGGTGGGCATCACACCTGGCCTTGTACTGGGAGTCTACGCCCAGTACTGTAAGAGCAGAGCCTTTGTGACCTGATGGCCCTGAGAGCTCCCACCTCTCGCTACTGGCACAGCGGCAGTTAAGGCTCAGCCTGAGTGCTGGCGAGGACATTCAGTGAAGCAGGGTGCTGTGCTGGGTGGGGAGCTGGAGGGAGATGTGGATGCTGCTCCCACCCCGGACTCGGGCGCTCACTCTGCAGCCCGCTGTGTCGGCTCACCAGCAGCATGTGCTCCCTCCCCAGATTGCCTGGCTGATGCAGATCACCATGGGCACCTCAGCCACCGAGACCCTGAGTGTGGCAGGAAACATCTTCGTGAGCCAGGTGGGTGCTGCTGCCATCCCCCAAAGAGGGCAGGGTGGGGCCCCAGCTCTCATTCAGTCAGGGAATGGCTGTGGCAACCTTCTCCTGGGGTCACCAGAGGCTGCTGCCCGGGGTGTCTGAGGTCCTCCATGGGGCGGCTACACTCTCCTGGGCTGGGACCTTCACAAGTCTTACATGAGGAAACTGAGGCTGGGCATGGGGTGACGTGACTGAGGTCCCACATGGATAAGCCAGGATTGGAATTGGGTTTTCTCCTTCCTGGCCAGGGTTTTTCCCTCTGTATCATTTTGCCTTCCTTTCCTCTCCATCTTTCTGAGATGTGTTTTCCAAACTACACGTGACTGAATCGTTCAGGCCCGATTCCCTGAGGGGGGACTCTGGAGGCCATTCCAGAGTCTCTCCTGGCTGGTCTGCCTCACTCCTAAATTCCCAAGAGACACGCTTGCCAAAAGATGTTGTATTTCATCCAATTGTTTAGAAAGCTTTGGAGAATTTTTGTCTTTTTTTTTTTTTTTTTGCTATAGTGCAAATGAGTTGATCTCAAAGGTTTGGTTTGTTATTCACCAATTAAGACAGATGTCCTCTGAGATAAATTGTCCCCCAAACCCCTTGAGGTGTCCAAAATGAGGCAAAAGAGGAAGACAACTGTGAGACACAAAAGCTCTTATTTCATGTGAGAGCCTGTAAACACAATCCATTTCTGCGGAGAAATATAAATTGTGGTGCGTGTGACATCAGGTGACACAAAGGGCTACCAAGGTAAATTGGCTTTGGACAAGTTGTTGCCGAGGTGACCAGACTTCCAGGTCTTTGCCTCATTTCCCTCAAGGGGAGAGGATGGGAGCCTTCACAGAACGGCAGCACTGTTGCCAGAGAGTCCACATGCCCTCCTGGGGAACCACAGCAGCCCATGGCCCCTGATGCCCCATCCCTCTCTGGAACCTGAACCTGAACCCGTCCCCTAGACTCCAGACCAGCATGCCCATCCGGCTCCTTGGATTTCCAACTGAATATGAGTCCTAACCAACAGGACCCCGTGCCCGCTCTCTCTTCACAGCTGCACCTCTCCAGGAATGTCCCTTCCCTCTGCTTCCACCCCGCCTGTCACCACTTGTCATCCTCCACTCATCCTGAGGGCCCCGTCAAGACCACACATGTGCGGCCACAGTGTCGCCCAATTGCCTAGTGTGCTTAAGCCCTGGGTTCCATCCCCAGTGCCCCCAAAACAGAACAGAACTGGGTGAGCAGTTCTGAAGTGAAGTGAGCTCACACTCTGAGGCCCCCGCTCTTCGCTGTGGCCTCCCCATGGCCCTTCCGGAAGCACAGGCCTGGAGTGGACGTGGCAGCCCCAGCGGGTGCTGCGTGCTGGGGCTCTCTTCTTGTTCCTGGGTAGAGGGCGGCTGGATCTGAGCAGAGGTCGGGAGGGAGGCAGTGAGTGCGTCGTGGGTGCCGGGCCTGTGGTGGGCTGTCCACATGGGAGCTTGGGGTCCTGCGTGGAGAGGACCGGTGCTGAAGGTCACAGAGGCTCAGCCCACCCTGCCCTCTCCCCTGGGGACCCAGGACTCACTGTGATCTGCTGGCTCCCAGCCTTCCATCTGATGCCTGTCCTGTCTGTAGACCGAGGCTCCCCTGCTGATCCAGCCCTACCTGGCAGACATGACACTCTCCGAGATCCATGTGGTCATGACTGGGGGTTACGCCACCATCGCCGGCAGCCTGCTGGGTGCCTACATCTCTTTCGGGGTAGGTACAGCCTTCCTTCTGCGGGGGGCCTGAAGCCATCTTCCTGGGAGCTACATGCTATGATGGGCCAGAGCAGCCCTGGAATGTTCTCTCTGGGGCCTGACATCTCAGCTGGGTCAGGAGGGAGACTGCTCCACTGAGCAAGATTCCCAGGGCTCCATTACTGAGCACCTGCTGTGTACCAGGCAATGCCCTGCATGTTTCAATTTCCCCATTTTATAGATCAGACCATCGAGGTGCAAAGAGTAGTGCTCAAAACCAGCATCTGAGCCCAGGTCTGTCCGACTTCAAATCTCATGTTTATTTCTGCGCAGTCCCATACCTGGGACCTTCCCTAACCACCAACTCAAGCCTTTCCTTTGCTCCTAAATTCTTTTTAAAAAAAATTAAAAAGTTTTACAAGCATTATGTAGTACATAAGGATTACATTCATCGTGGGGAGTTGTTACATGCATCTAACACATCTTAGTTCTTTTTACTTCCCCTTCATCTCTTTCTGCTCTTTCCATTTGCAAAGTTCTATCTTCCTGTTTTTTATTAGCTTTTATTTTGCCTTTTGTGTTGTTTATACTTTGGGTTTCTCATATAAGAGAAATCATGCAGTAAGTATTTAAGCTTGTGTGTCTGATTTATTTCACTTAACATTATGGCTCAAAGCACATCCATTTTTCTACAAATGACTCAAATTTGTCCTTTATGGCAGAGTAGTGCTCCATTGTGTGTAAATGCCACATTTTATTTATCCACCCGTCTGTGGACATACAGGCTGCTTCCAAGATTTAGCTATCATGAGCTGTGCGGCTAGAAACACAGCTGCACATGTATCACTATAATATGATGCCTTTCACTCTTTTAGGAAGATACCTAGAAACGGAATAGCTGGGTCAAATGGAATTACTTGTTTCAGTTTTTTGAGGAAGCCCCATACAGATTTCCATAGTGGTTGTATTCCCACCAGCGATATAAGGTTTCTTTTTCCCCTGCAGTTTAGACAGCATTTGTTATTATTTGATTTCTT